GTAGTAGTAGTAGTAGTGGTGGTAGTGGTAGTGGTAGTGGTAGTGGTAGTGCTAGTGGTAGTGGTGTGGTAGTGGTAGTGGTAGTGTAGTGGTAGTGGTAGTGGTAGTGGTAGTGGTAGTGGTAGTGGTAGTGGTAGTAGTAGTAGTAGTAGTAGTAGTAGTAGTAGTAGTAGTAGTAGTAGTAGTAGTAGTAGTCGGAGTAATACTAGTACTAGTTGTCGTAGTAGGCAGGTCGGTAGGTTAAAGTAGGTAGGTAGGGAGGTAGAGGTAGGAAAGAGCGCGTTCTGTGGTAGCTTGGAGGGGGGGGAGTTGAACTGGACCTCCCCCCCTCCCCCCCCCTGCTTCCCCTCTCCTCGGGCCGGCGCTTGCGTCGGCGGCGGCTGGCGACGGCGGCGGGGACGACGATTTCTATTTCTGGGCCGGCGCCGGCGCCTGCGGCGGCGGGCGGCGGTGGCGGGGAGCGTCGACGAGGAAGACGGTGGTGATGGTGGTGGTGGGTTGTGGTGGTGGTGGTGGTGGTTGTGGTGGTGGTGGTGTGGTGGTTTGTTGTGGTTTTGGATGGTGGTGGTGGTGGTGGTTTGGCGTTGTGGTGGTGGTGGTGGGTTGTGGTGGTGGTGGTTTGGTGGTGGTGCTGTGGTGGTTTGCGGTGGTGGTTTGTGGTGGTGGTGGTGGGTTGTGGTTGTGGCGGTGGTTTGTGGCGGTGGTGGTGGTGGTGGTGGTGGTGGTGGCGGTGGTGGTGGTGGTGTGGTGGCTTGTGGTGGTGGTGGTGGTGGGTTGTGCTGCTGGTAGTGGTGGTGGTTGTGGCGGTGGTGGTGATGGTGGTGTGGTAGATTGCGGTGGTTGTGGTGGTGGTAGTGGTGGTTGGGTTTTCCCGGAAAGGGCTTCGGCCCAGGGTTCTCTTTTAGCTGTTTACCCGAGGGTCTGACTTAAGGTGGGCCGGCGGAATTATTCCTTGATAAATACCGAGGTCGAGGTGGGCCGGCGGAATTATTTTTGAGGATGTCCCTAGCGAAACGCTAGTTTTTCAGAATTTGTTGAGGATGTCTCGAGCGAAACACTGGTTTTGCAGAGTTGGGGATGTCTCGAGCGAAACGCTTGTTTTCAGAATTTGTTGAGGATGTCTCGAGCGAAACGCTGGTTTTGCAGAGCCGACCGCGACGCGGAAAAGCGCCCCGCGCGCAGGAATTCGGATGATGTTTCGCGCGTGCCGCGTCCCGCGCGCAGGAATTTCGAGGATGTCTCGACTAATTCGTTTGTTTCGCCAGGATTTCCTAGAATTTTGGCAGGATGTCTCGAGCGAAATGCTTGTCTTTCAGAATTTGTTGAAGACGTTTCGAGCGAAACGCTGGTTTTGCAAAGTTGGAGGATGTCTCAAGCGAGATGCTTGTTTTCACGTCCCGCTCGCAAGAATTCCGAGGATGTCTCGCGCGTGTCGCGTCCCGCGCGCAGGAAGTCTGAGGATGTTGGCAGGATGTCTCGAGCGAAACGCTTGTCCCCAGCACGTTCCGTAGCGCGTCCCCTTGGCACGTCCCGCGGTGCGTCCCCATGGCACGTCCCTTGGCACGTCGCTTGGCGGGTCCCTTGAGACGTTCCGCGTCGCGTCCTCCTGGCATGTCCCCTTGTCAATTAGCTCTGGGGCAGCTACGGTGATGATGGTGGTGGTGATGATGCTGCTGCTGCTGATGATGATGATGATGAAGATGATGATTTTCATGCTGCTGCAGATGATGCTGATGACGATGATGGTATGGTGATTCTGATGATGATGAAGAGGATGATGATGACGATGACGATAACGATGACGATGGCGACGGCGACGGCGACAGCAACGGCGACGGCGACGGCGATGGCGATGACGACGACGATGGCGATAACGATGATGACGATGACGATGATGATGTTGATGATGATGATGACGATGATGACGGTGATGATAATGATGACGATGATGACGATGATGGCGTTGGTGGTGGTGGTGATGATGCTGATGATGACGATGATGACGATGCTTGTGATGATGACGATGATGGTGATTCTGATGATGACGGCGATGATGATGCTGATGATGTTGATGATGATGGCGATGATGGTGGTTGTGATGATGCTGATGACGATGATGATGCTGATGATGACGATGATGATGCTGATGATAATGATGATGATGATGATCATGATGATGATGATGCTGATGATGCTGATGATATGATGATGGATGATGATGATGATGATGATGATGATGATGATGATGATGATGATGATGATGATGATGATGATGATGATGATGATGATGATGATGATTATTATCATGATGATGCTGATGCTGATAATGATGATAATAATGATGATGATGATGATGATGATGATGATGATGATGATGATGATGATGATGATGATGATGATGATTATCATGATGATGCTGATGCTGATGATGATGATGAGGATAAGGAGGAGGAGGAGGAGGAGGAGGAGGAGGAAGAAGCGTGTGCGGAGGTGGAAGGACGCAGTTTATTGTTCCCAAAGCTGAGCCATGGCCCTGCCGCCGGAGCCGTGGCGAATGTGATGAACGGGTGAAGGGGAGGGGATGAGGATGTGTGGACCTGCTCCTCACGTTGTGATGACGGCCTTGGTGGTGGTGGTCGTTGTGATTATCCTCTTCCTCCTCTCTCTCCTCGTCGCCCTCCTCGTCTCCTACCCCATCCCCTTCCTCCCCCTCCGCGTGTCCCCCATCTTACTTTTTTTTTTTCCCCCCCCCTTTTAGTCCTCTTTCCTCCTGCCCCTTCTCCCCCTCCCCCTCCCCCTCCGCCTTTTCCTCGTCCTTCTCCCCCCCTCATCTTCCTCCCCCTCCCGCCTTCTCTTTGCCCCGCTCCCCCCTCATTCTCCCGCCCCCCCTCCGCCTTCTCCGCGCCCTTCCTTTCCTCCCCCTTCTTCCTCCCCATCCACCCCCGCGCCAGGACAGGAAGCTCGCCGCGACGGTGGGGGACGGCACCGGCTTCCGCTGCCAGGGCGCGGGGGCCGACTGGTGGCCCCAGCCAACTGGTGCCGCCTACGAGAAGCCGATGACCCAGGCCAGGGCGCTTCTTCTCTGCCGTCGGGGCCCCTGCCAGCGAGGGTCAGCGCCGACAGGGGTCAGCCAGTCCCGTCCGCCATCCTCTGGCTGGCCTGGGCTTCGGAGCCACCTCGAGCCGACCCCGCCTCTCCTCTCTCCGCTGACCCCGGGTCTGGGAGCTACTATATGCGGCCGCCTGGGGTCCGCGTCGTGGCCCTGGTTGGCTTGGTTACGCGCTGATCCAGGTTGGCGCGTTCCCGATGCCCGGGCTATGCCAGGACGCTCCCCTTCCGCAGAAGACATCTGCACACCACCGCTGCGCCTGGCCGGGACCATCTCCTGTGGCCCCGGGCTTGCGTGAGCGAAGAGGTTTCCGGCCTCGGCCAGGAGGGCGGATGCTCGGGGGCGGAAAAGAGGGGGGTGATGACTAGGGGGGGTGGATATCATGGCGGGGGCCATGACATTTCCCCAGGTTTCATGGCGCCTCTTCTCATTTCATTACGTCCCTGGCCCCCCCACTGGGCCGCGCACATGCCGCAGGTCATGATTTGCACCCCCCCCCTCTTGGACACCCCCCTCTTGGCCGCTCCCGACATGCACCGTGCGGGTGCACGGAGTTGCCCAGGCCGGGCACGGTGGTGGGTTGCAGGGGTGTCCCCACGAGTTGTACATCAGGAACAACTGAACGAAAGTTAGAACCTGGAGGAGCGTGAACGTGGAGAGGGTGAGGAAGAACAAACAGCCACAAGGCACATCGGGGCAAAATCGCGCGAAAGTCCTGGGCCCTGCTCCGCTTCGTAGCTCTGCCCTCTGCGAGGAGGAGGGGGAGGAGGCGGAGGAGGATCCCAAAATGCCAGCAGGGTCAGCGCTGGACGGAGGAGCGGAGCGAGGGGCGAGGGGCGAGGAAGGAGAAGGCTTCGAGGTTCCAGGCCTCTTTCGCCTCCAGGGGAGTTTCTCCCCAATCCAAGAGGCGAGCGCGCGCAACAGGAGCCGAGCACGACCACACATAGACGGGGTCTAGCTGGCCCTGGGAGTGCGGACGCCGTGTAATTTAAAAGGGATCCTGGCCCTGGGGGGGGCGGGCGCGGTGTAATTTACCATGGATCGTGTCCCTGGGAGCGCGGACACAGCGTAGTTCACGAGGGATCCTGGCCCTGGGGGGGGGGCGAACACAGCGTAATTGACAAGGGATCGTGGCCCTGGGAGCGCGCACGCGCGTAATTTACAAGGGATCCTGGCCCTGGGAGCGCGGACACAGCGTACTTTTTGAGGCATCGTGGCCCTGGGAGCGCGGACGCAGAGTAATTTACAAGGGATCGTGGCCCTGGGGGAGCAGACATAGCGTAATTAACTTGGGAACGTGGTCCTGGGAGCGCGGACACAGCGTACTTCACGAGGGATCGTGGCCCTGGGAGCGCGGACGCAGAGTCATTTATTGGGGCACGTGGCGCTGGGAGCGCGGACACAGCGTAGTTCACGAGGGATCCTGGCCCTGGGGGGGGGGCGGACACAGCGTAATTGACAAGGGATCGTGGCCCTGGGAGCGCGCACGCAGCGTAATTTACGAGGGATCCTGGCCCTGGGAGTGCGGACACAGCGTTATTGAATCGCTTCGCTCATTCCGCCGGCCCGTGATATGGCATCGCTGGTTTTTGTCTGTGTGTTCGTTGCCCATGTTGCGCTCTTGGGGGCGGGTGTCGTTCGGACGCGTTGCGTGGGGAGTTTTGATGGTGAAGCAGTTCCCTGGGGGTCGTCTCTCGATGGGGCGAAATAGAGTCGTCGTCAAGATGCTTCTTTGGGGGGCCTCTTGGGGTCTGTTGAGAGGCCGTTCGGGGGCGCCTGGGAGACATGTTTGAAGCCTTCTGGGGCTTCTTTTGGGCCTCCTGGGAGTCTCCTGGGGCCTCTTGGCGACATCTTGGGGCCTCTTGGAGGCCTCTTGGGGCCTCTTTGGGACCTCCTGGGCGCCTTCTGGGACGGAGGGCTCCATTTTTGAGTTCTCGGTATCCCTCCTGAGTCCCTCTTGGGCCCGTCTTGGGGCCTCTTGGTCCGTCTTGGGCGGCACTTGGGCCGTCTTGAGGGCTCTCTTGGGTCGTTTCGGCGCCGTCTTGGGAGCTTCGTGGGCCGTCTTGGAGCGGTCTTGGGGGCCTCTTGGGCCGTCTTGGAGCGTCCGGAAGCCGAAAAAGCCAGAACACAAAAAACATCGAAAAAACCAATGAAAATCAACGATTTTGGCCTCTTGGGGCTCTCTTCGGAGGCCTCTTGGAAGGCTCTTGGGGCGTCTTGGAGGCCTCTTGGGCTGTCTTGGGGGCCTTTTGGGCCGTCTTGGGGTCATCTTCGGCGTCTTCGAGCGCTCTTTGGGCGTCTCGGGGGCCTCTTGGGCAGTCTTGGGGGCCTCTTGGGGCACTCTGAGCGCGCTCTGGGGAGCCTGAGAGGCCGCACCCAGAAGGAAAACCATCTCTGAGTAGACTTGGTCGGGCGGCGGTCGGGCGGCGACCGGGCGTTGGTCGGGGTACTTTTCGCCGGGGGACCCCCAGGGGCCGCCCCGCGCGCGCGAACTAGAAATACTGTTAATACTGTTAACCAGTTACCGGAGATCTTAGCACGCCCTGGCCCGTTGGGCCGGCGAATTTACGAGGGATCGTGGCCCTGGGAGCGCGGACGCATTGTAATTTACATGGGGCCATGGCCCTGGGAGCGCGGGTGCAGTGTAATTTACGAGGGGTGCTGGCCCTGGGAGCGCGGACGCAGCGTACTTCACGAGGGATCGCAGCCTTGGGAGCGCGGACGCAGAGTAATCTATTAGGGCACGTGGCCCTGGGAGCGCGGACGCAGCGTAATTTACGAGGGATCGTGGCCCTGGGAGCGCGGACGCAGTGTAATTCACGAGGGGTCGCGGCACTGCAGCGTGATTTACGAGGGATTGTGGCCCTGGGAGCGCGGACGCAGTGTAATTTACGAGGGATCGTGGCCCTGGGAGCGCGGCGGCCCTGGGAGCGCGGACGCAGCGCAATTTACAAGGTGTCGCGGCCCTGGGAGCGCGGACGCAGCGTAATTCTTGAGGGATCGTGGCCCTGGGAGCGCGGACGCAGAGCAATTTATTGGGGCACGTGGCGCTGGGAGCGCGGACGCAGTGTAATTCACGAGGGGTCGCGGCCCTGGGAGCGTGGACGTCCCACGTTCTCTGGCACGTTCCCTGGCGCGTCGCCTGGCGCGTCCCCGCGGCGCGTCCCGTGGCGAGCCGGCGCGTCGCGCGGCGCGTCCCCCCAGCACGTCCCGCGGCACGTCCACTGGCACGTTCCAGAGCGCGTTCCCTGGGCACGTCCCGCGGTGCGTCCCCGTGGCACGTCCCCATGGCGCGTCCCTTGGCGCGTCCCTCTTGGGACGCTCCGCGGCGCGCCCCCCTTGGCATGCCCCCCTGTCAATCTAGCTCTGGGGCAGCTGCTGTGCGCCCAGGCGGCTCGAGCTTAAAATCCAGATCAGTTCGGTCAGGACTCGGATGCAAAGGAGGACTCGATCCGCAACGCTATAGAGCACAGTCGCGGCATGGCAAATCGCCGTTCGGCACGGCACAGCATAGCACAGCTCTTGGCACGGTACACCAAGATCGATACGTTCAGCATTGCGATTGCCCGTCATCCAATCAGATGTCTTGGAAACGTTCCCATGCTCCACATTTCTAAATTCCTTTCCGGGTTCGTGGGTCGATCATGTTCCCGGAAAGGGCCTGGGCCGAGGGTTCTCTTTGAGGGGTTTTCCTTCGGAATCGACTTGAGGTGGGGCAGCTACTACGTGCTCAGGCAGCTCGAGCTTAAGATCCAGATCAGTTCGGTCAGGACTCGGATGCAAAGGAGGACTCGATCCACACCGCTATAGAGCACGATCGCGGCAGGGCACATCGCAATTCAGCACGACACAGCACAGCACAGCCTTTGGCACGGTACATCAAGATCGATACACTCAGCATTGCAGTTGCCCGTCGCCCAATCAGGTGTCTTTGAAAACGTTACCATGCTTCACATTTCTATATTCCTTTCCGGGTTCGTGGGTCGATCATGTTGGATGGTTTCCCCCCCGCCTCGACTTGCGCAGGGCCGGCGAATTTATAATCTGCGATGAATAGCGAGGTCGCGTAGGGCCGGCGAGTTAAAAAGTTGATGATGTCCCGAGCGGAACGCGGTTTTTTTTGAAATCCCGATCGATCAATCACAGGGTGTGGGACACATGTTCATTTTCCTTTGATGCGGATGTCTCGAGGAAAAGCCTTGTTTTGCAGAATGTGTGGAGGATGCCTCGAGCGAAACGCCTGAATTGTATCATAGATGGTTCCTCTCCTGGGGACCAGAATTCAGAGGATGTCTTAGGTGAAAAACTTGTTTTCACGTGCCCTGGTCTTGAGGATGTCTCGAGCGAGACGCTTTATTTCACGTGTCCAGGTTGCCCAGGCAGATGTCTAGCATGAGGATTTGTTGAGGATGTCTCGAGCGAGACGCTTGCTTTCACGTGTCCAGGTCGCCCAGGCAGATGTCTAGCACCAGGATTTGTTGATCGAGCGGAACGCTTGGTTTGACGTGTCCCAGGTCGCCCAGGCTGATGTCTAACATGAGGAGGTGTTGAGAACGTCTCGAGCGAGACGCTTGGTTTCACTTGCCCAGGCCACCCAGGCGGATGTCTAATATGAAGATGTGTTGAGGATGTCTCGAGCGAGAACGCTTGTTTTCACGCGTCCAGATCGTCCAGGCGGATGTCTAGCATGAGGATGTGTTGAGAACGGCTCGAGCTAAGCGCTTGTTTTCACGTGCCCAGGTCGCCCAGGCGGATGCCTAACATGAAGATGTGAAGAGGATGTCTCAAGCGAACCGCTTGTTTTAACGTGTCCAGGTCGCCCAGCCGGTTGTCTAGCATCGAACCGCTTGTTTTCGCGTGTCCAGGTCGCCCAGGCGGGTACCTAGCATCGTAACTCTTATGTTCACGTGTCCAGGTCGCCAAAGTGGATGTCTAACATGAGCATTTGGGCAGGATGTCTCGAGCGAGCCCAGTCAGCTGTCTAGCATGAGGAGGTGTTGAGACCGTCTCGAGCGAGACGCTTGGTTTCACGTGTCAGGTCGCCCAGGCGGATGTCTAACATGAGGATGTGTTGAGAACGTCTCGAGCGAGACGCTTGGTTTCACGTGTCAGGTCGCCCAGGCGGATGTCTAACATAAGGATGTGTTGAGGATGTCTCGAGAGAGTCGCTTGGTTTCACGTGTCCAGGTCGCCCAGGCGGATGTCTAACATGAGGATATGTTGAGGATGTCTCGAGAGAGTCGCTTGGTTTCATGCGTCCAGGTCGCCCAGGCGGATGTCTAACATGAAGGTGTGTTGAGGATGTCTCGAGCGAAACGCTTGTCGCAGTAGAGTGCATCGCAGTCCAACTCCGCCCGTCCGTGGGGCATCCCCAGGCGCGGGCACCAGGCAAACCATGGGATGCATGATTCATCTGTTTTGCCCATGTGGCTGGCTTAGCCGTTCATATATTCGGTTCCATGGTCGCCTTCCTCCTCCTTCCCCCCCCTCCCCTCTGCTCTTCCACCCTCCTCCTGCTCTTCTTCGTCCGCCCTGCCCTTTGCCTCCCTCTCCCCCTTCCTCGTTGTCCTCGTCTTTGTCCTCTTCTTTGCAATGCGATGCAATGCTGTGCCATACGATATGGTATACTATTCATTGCCACGTAATGCTGACATGCCATGGCCATCTAGATGGTGTTATGTTACGCTTTGCAATGCTTTGCGATGCGTTGCATCGTGGTGTCTCGCCTCTCACTTCAGTGCGTTGCACATGTATGCCCCTCAAGCGAGAGAATATGCCAACTGGGATGCGCGCTGGGTTATTCTAGTGAGAAGTCGTTGGCCACATGTCGAAGGAGCACGTGTGCCGCATTTGGCAACATTTCATCATGATCGTGAGATTGGGCCCGCATGCGTCCAGCCGCCCGATGTAAACGCAGCTCACGCGCGCGAGCAATGCGCGTCCCGCGTTGCTATGGGTTGACCGGCGCTGGCTCTCACCGCAAGGAATTGCTTCATATTTGAGACGAGCGCTCATCCAACATGTGAGAAGTCAAGATGGAAAAGGGGCTTCGAGGGGTGGTCAAGGCGTACATCCAACGTGTGAAAATTCAAGATGGAAAGGGGCTCGAAGGGTGGTTCAGATTTCCAGTCATTCCCCACGTAGGCTCGCCCAAGGGTCTCCCGATCGTTCTTTGGAAGTGCGCTGTCTGGGCGCAGGCCAGTTCTTTGTTATCTGGGCGCCGATCCCTCGCGCAAGTCTTGTTTGAGCTATGCTGCGCTGTGTTGTGCAGGGCAGTGCTGGTCGTGCCGTGCTGTGCTTTGCTTGGCTATTCTACGCCGCGCCATGCCATGCCATGCTTCGCTGTGCTGCGCTGTGCTGTGCCATGTAAAGCCATGCGATGCTACAGTATTGTACGCCATCCCATGGTTGGCTATGCAATGCTATGCTATGAAAGCTGCGCTATGATAAGCTACGTAGTGGTTTTCACTGCTGCGCAATGCTTTGTATTGCTATGCTATGCCCTGCCATGCTACGCCATTGCTATATCATATTACGCCATGTTTTCATTCATGTGTTTCATGCTGCCGTTCTGCTGCCGTTCTGTGATGTACTAGGCTGTGCTATGCGATGCATTGCTATGCTGTCCGTTACATGGTACCTCATCGTGGTGCATCTCATGCCGTTGCTTCGCACATGCATGCCACCAGCAAGCTTGTACTCTCATTCGGGGTCGCGCTGGCCTAATTTTCCTGGAAAGGGCATCGGCCCAGGGTTCTCTTTTAGCAGGTTAACCGCCCGGCCCCGACGGCTCTAGGGCCGGTGAAATTATTCTGTGATGGGATCTAACATGGTGGTCCCGCGCTGGAGCCACGTGTTTTCACGTGTGCAAGCCACCCAGGCGGGTATCTG